CACCTTCCCCTGGTAGTATCCCACTACTGCCAATCTCTTTTTTATTATGGTAACTGTTCAGGGTCTACTTATGAGTGAGAACATGTGGTACTCAATTCTTTGTTTCTGTGATAGATCACTGAGGATGATAGACTCTAAATCCATCCAAGTTCAGATTCAAGATTTAAACCCGAGTCCTCACACGCTCTTCCTTACTCCACTGCTCCAGCTCTGCACCCCTACACTCTTCTTTACCCCTGTAGTCTTCTGTTTCTACGAGAGGTACATACAGTAAAAGAAAGAGGGAGGGCTGACATGGCAAAAATATCCCAAGAGACACATCAACTCTTCTTTGCTTCGCAAATTTTAGATGGAACAAAGGACAACTATAATATTGTTTTCCCACTGTTCTCCCTAAATACTAGTAGCCCAATTTTAGAACAAGTGATAGTGACACAGTTTTAGAAAGAAATGTATATGGTTCATCATTAAATGAGAATCTATTTTTTTCCAGAAAAAAAAGTTGTTGTTAATGGCGATCACAATAAGATGCAAATAATTCCTTGATGCCATAGTCTACTTCAAATCACAAATAAATCTTTATATTATGATGTTATATTACTATTGTGCAAGGCAATCCATTTGCTCATTTAATAGGCATTTATTGAGAATGTACTATATGAAAGGCTCCATCTTAAGAGACATATTTATTCAGATATACATCAGACAGACCTGCTTGCCATTCACAAATTTATAAAAAATGACTTCTAAAAGTAAGAGGAGAGCTGGACATGGGGACTCATACCTGTAATCCAGCACTTTGGGAGGCAGAGGTGGGAGGATTACCTGAGCCCAGGGATTCGAGACCAACTTGGGCAACTTGGCAAGTCGTCAACTCTACAATAAATCCAAAAATTAGCTATGTGTGGTAGCATAAGCCTGTAGTCCCAGCTACTCAGGAAGCTGAGAGGAAAAGATTGCCTGAGCCCCATAGGTCAAGGCTGCAGTTGCTATGATCGTGCCCCTGCATTCCAGCCTGGTTGACATAGTGAGACTCCGATTCAAAAAAAAAAAAGTGAGAGGAGGAAATAAAGTGGTGGGAGTGAATAGTGAGAGGAGTCTAAGGTGACCCCAGGTTTCTGACTTGAGCTCCTAGATAGATGCACTATGCATCTGGAAGGTAAAGGAAGAAAAACTAGTTTGGGATTTATTGTGTGTGGTGTGTTTGTTGTTTGTTTTGTCATTTTTGAGTGTTATCATCTTTCCACTTTGAGGGTGTTTTGTTTCCATCTGATGCTCTGGCTGAAGCCCCATGCTCCTGGGATCATGGCAGTGTCATAACCCTTGTCTGATTATCTTGATTTTATGAGCCCAATTAAAATATGTATTTAAGAGATTCCTGCCATCTTTACAGCTCCTAAACATCCCTAAGGATTCTCTTCCTGACTATTAAGTTAATTATATTTGAATTTTTTGTCATTACAGTGCAATTATGCAAGCTTGTGTTAGGGTATGGCCATGCCTCAGTGTGTCCACCCTTTTTTCACACAACTTTTTTGTGGGGAAACAAAAGGTGCATTTATACCATGATCTAGTAAAATTTTATAGTAGGCACAAATGATGTTATTAAAATCTACTTGGAAAATGATTCATCTTAATTTCAAAAACTGAAAAAAAATGTAAAGTAGAGAAGTCAAATGGTGCTGTATCATTGAGTGAAAATATACTTCAGAAAGCTGTCTATCTCCATGACTCTGCTCTGTCTCCCTTTGTAACTTGTTTTCACCCAAATATTTTCCAAAATGTCTGTCCAAATTATTCAACTAATTTTACTTTTTATTCCTACTTCTTGTCATCTCAGAGAGACCCGCACAGTAGGATGAGTTCTCTGCTACAGAGGTTATTCTAAGAGGGAATCATAAATGCATACTGGAAGAAATTCTGCTCTTCTTCATCCTATAAACTGTGTCACTACATGTATAGTTACAGGAGGCATAGTTCTCTGCTTTCTCATCTCGGATCTGACCCTTCACTATCCTCTTCTGTCCTTGAGCCTGGCACCTTGCTGGTGCTGGCAGGCGTCAGAAAGGCATGGGCTTGGAGCCAGATGAGCCGTACAAGGAAGGCTCAGGGAAGCAAACTGACATGGGCTCAATAATTAGCACAATGCCTGACACAATGCTCAATAAGATTCTGCTGAATTAATGGATGTGTGTGCCGCCTAGCTGTTGTAAATGCTTCAAGTTGGTAATGTGGGGCTAATTGACTGAGCATTTAAGTTGAAAATGGAGGACTGACCAGCTCCTTGATCCTCCAAAAACTTATTGAAGGCCTTCTTGTAGAGATATAAAGTTTCATTCATTTTTAATATCCATGCCAGTAATTTTAGGAATGTGAAAAACTAAACAGTCCCACAATTTTATGTATTGTTTTAAATAATAAAATATACTTGGACAGAGAATGGCAGGTAATACATTTTAAGATGAAGATTTAGGATAACACGTAATTTTATCACATTGAGTGCCTCAGTAGCCAAATCTTAGCTATTTAGGTAGTTCTTGATGCAGAGCTGATTTAAATGTAACAACCCCATGACTGACTAAATCGTTTGAGGACTCTACAATGTTCTCAAAATTCCTAGAGTTTGTGCTTTGTAATGATTTCTTCTGTCTTTTCCATAGTCAATTATATAATATATTATTAGAATAGATATTAGAATAAATTTCAATTAACATTTTATAATTTGTATTACAGTATTGTGATACAGACTTACTCTTATTCCCGAAAGGTACAAAAGAAAAAGGAATTTAGCTTGTCACACTCAGTTATGTCTCTGTAGGCATGGATAGATCCAGACCCATGAAAATATACAACATAACAGGTTTCTTTTTTTGTTGTTCTTGTTGTTGTTTTTGTTTTTAATTTTTTTGTAGAGACTAGGTCTCATTATGCTGCCCAGGCTGGTCTTGAACTCCAGCAATCCTCTGGCCTTGACCTCCCAAAGTGCTGGGATTACAGGTGTGAGCCACCACACTTGGAAAAATTCCCATCGTCTTTCAAGAGAAACTAAATGATGTGCCATTCTAATGAACTATGCCTGGGAGTTCCTTTCAACCTACAGGATACTAGTGTGTGATCTGGGCTATGTTAGATATGACTCTTCTTAATTCTTTTTTTTTTTTAATGTTTAATTTTAAATATGTGGGGTACAATTCAGGCTTAGGTATACAAAAGTTCATTATGCAGGTACCATGGTGACTTCCAGGTTTTCAAAGGGATGTACAACTAGCTCCCACAGACCCAGCATCACAGGGCAACCTCCACTCTGGCATATTCTTATATTCCTTTCACCCTGAAATTCTTATTGTCTCCATCACTGCTCCTCAGGGGGCAGCTACAACTCTGCAGTGCTATTGTTCTGAGAGAAAAATTTTTTAAAATCATCTTAAGAAACCTATTTAATACAGTAACAAGTTTACTCTAATCAACAGCAAGTCTGTTGAAGTACATTTTTGTCCAGAAGTAGTTGAAGGCCACATTGATCAAGGAAGGGAGGCATGCTCATACTAATGAGCTTCCCCTCCCCTTGTTGAGGACATTTTCTCAGAATCTGTTAACAGTTTAAGTCATGCAGAACTTCCATAGAATGTTACAGCCTAGGGAATATGATTGCCCCCAGGATACTTGATGTTCTCACTTCTTATGGTGAAGGATGTAATCATCTTTTAGGCCCTCACTCTGAGAGAAGAACTTTCACACATGAACTTCAGGGCTGCAGGGTAATTATTACAAAAGGTAGCATTTGCCTGTGTTCTTACAGCTAGTTCACCTCAATCCCACTACCCAAACCTTGGAATTCAGGGTAAAACTTGGGTCACTGCTTTACTAGACACAAAACTAAAAACATTCAGCTCAGCAAATACTCCCTTTTATATACAGTTGTTCTTTATGTGGACAAGATTAATGGGAGATGGATAACAAAAGAGGATGGGTATAGTGGCTCAAGCCTATAATCCCAGCACTTTGGGAGGTCGAGGTGAGAGGAATGCCTGAGCTCGGGGCTTGGAGACCATCCTGGGCAACTTGGCGAGATTGTGCTCTAAGATGAATCAAAAAATTAGCCAGCCATGGTAGCATGTGCCTGGGGTTCCAGCTACTTGGAAGGCTAAGGAGGAAGGATCACCTGAATCCAGCAGGTCAAGGTTGCAGTGGCTGCAAGCATGCCACTGCACTCCAGACTGGGCAACAGAGTGAGACTCCAACTAAATAATAATAATAATAATAATAATAATAGGAAAGGAAATTACTTTGGGAGATTAATCGATCTTCAATTTCTAAAAATTATAAATTGCTTTATATAATTGCCCTTGGCTACCTTCTTTGTCCTCATCATCATCTTCCAATAGGAAAAAGTAGCAAGAATGTGGACTGAGAATATGTGGCTCAGAGGTAACAAAACCATTTGTGTGTGTGTGTGTGTGTGTGTGTGTGTGTGTGTGTGTGTGTGTGTGTGTGTAACTGCATGACTAAAAACTCTGCTTCCATGACTAAAATCATCATAATTATCAAGGAATGACTTTTTCTCAGAGTTGCATTAGGACAGAAAAAGAGACATTTGTCATGCAGTGGCGTATCTCTGGGACAGTTCACCCCTGTGAACCATGCCTGCCCTTTCTTCCTTCCTTTTAATTAACATTTGGAAAGGAACAGTGATGTTAGTAGATAACAGGGCTGGGCAGAGAGAACTAGAAAGGGATGTGAGCTCTGTCAATCTTCAACCTTGCTGAGGAGGACACATTAAAGCTTTTTTCATGGAAAATCAGCCTTCGTCAACACATATTCAAAGCAATGTGACCTTGAGGGATATATATATATATATATTTTCTAAATAAGAATAGCACAGACTGAAGCATCTTGAGAGAATATAAATGAACCAAAGGAAAGGAGGAAAAGCATCCGAAAAGAAGAAGTTAAATCCAGGGGAAAAAAAACAGTTGTCAAGTGCATTTCCTGCCACTTACCTTTTCTGCTGACTGGGCTGTACCAAAAAAGATGGGAATGAAAGCTAACCAAATGATGCAGGTGGTATACATAGTAAATCCAATAGGTTTGGCTTCGTTGAAAGTCTCCGGGACACCTCTCGTTTTAATGGCATAAACAGTACAAGTGACCATCAAGAGGATACTATATCCAAGAGAACAAATGAGTGAGAGATCAGAAATGTCACACTTGAGCACTCCCCTGGCGTTCTCTGGGTCTAGTGTCCGCTGCTCTCCATAGTCAATGATGATGTGGGGGGGGTCCACAACAAACCAGACAAACACTCCAAGGAGCTGGATGGAGATGAGGCTAAAGGTGATCACCAGCTGGGATGCCGGACTAATAAACTTGGGCGCCGTGACGGATTTCTTCCCCTGCTCAAATATTCGATGGATACGGTTTGTTTTGGTCAGAAGGGCTGCATAGCTGAAACACATGCCAAGTCCCAGGAAGATCCGTCGGAAGGAGCATATGATCGTATCTGGTGCTGCAATCATTAGAAAGGTGATTGAATAACAGAGAAAAATCCCTGTCAGAAGCACGTAACTAAGTTCGCGTCCCGAAGCCCTCACGATGGGTGTGTCATTATAGCGGACAAAGGTCACGATCACAAAGGTGGTGGCGATGATTCCCAGTATTGCAATGAACACAGGCACCACGGCCCAGGGAGAATGCCACTCCAATTTGATGATGGGGATAAGCTGGCAGCCTGTGCGGTTGATGTTTGGTCTCTGATCCAGAGGGCAAAGTTCACAGGAGAGCTCATCCACCTGGTAGTTGTAACCTTCACAGCGTTCACAGTGCCAGCAGCAAGGGACCCCTTTCACTGTTTTCTTCCTCTCCCCTGGCTTGCAGGGAAGGCTGCAGACAGATGCCGGGTGAGTGTGTTCTCTGTTACCCCACTGCATGTCTTCCACCTGTGGGCATAAAAAATTAATGAGCCTTCCATTTTTTCCCCCATTTATAATATCCTAATCCTAGCCACTGGTTTGTAATAAATCACTGAAAGCTGACAGTACAAATACAGTTTACCATAATAAGAGCCCAGTTTCTTTCCCTGATATTGACTTTATGAAAGCATTAAGTGATTGGGTCCAATAAATCATTCACATCATCAACTTGATTGTCATTAGTTTCTATTTACCTCTTTGATTCTGATCAATCTGACATTTGGAGAGAGACTTATTGGTCCAAACAGTTTTAAAACTAAAAAAGAGAAAGGAAAATAAAATAAAAAGCCCCATAGAAAGATGTTTTAGAGCTAATCACAGATATAAATGCCAGAATCCCTGAAAGGCTGGATTAGGATATAAACATATGTAAAAGATGATCCATGTCTTTCTACCATATTTGGGGAAATTCAAGTCACACTGTGTCAATTTTGAAAGGAAATGGCAAAATGAGTTACTTTAATCTCTGACTCTCCTCATGTGTTTATGGAGATAACTGTATTAATGTGTTTTGCCCTGTTTCAGCTTGAAACACTTTTTTTTTTCAGTCTTCCATTTCCATGTCGTAAAAAACACCAAACTGAATGATAAACTTGATGGTAATGTTTTTCACTGAACGAAAGTAGTCCTGTGGTGACTTAAAGCAGTGAAATTGGTTCAAATGAGAGTTTCCCTACGTTGCTTAGTATTTGCTTCAGGGCCTTAAAGTTCTACCTTATCATTTTGGGTTAAATCACAGAATACCTCTATGGAAATAAAAATGGTTTTGGAGGAGGATGGTGCCAATCCTTGGTCTCTTACCTTGAGTTTATTTGTTTTCCTTATTAGATATACAATACTTTTAGCAGCACACTAATAGAACAAAATGAAAAATTATGGATGATAGGAGACCACTTACAAAAAGAAGCTAGTATAAAAGGTAAGTTCTATGAAAGGAGTGACTTGTTCACTGGTGTGAACAGTGACTGACACACCATTTGCCCTCAGTAAATATGTTTTCAATTCATGCAGAAGAAAGGATGAGAAAGGCACCCTAGCAGACCCTTGATGAATAAGGGGCCAGTTGAAAGCAATGAGATTTGGAAATAGAGGGTTACTCAAAGAGGCACAGAAAAGGGAGACCAAGAAATGCTTTAGAAAAAAGAAAACAATCTTACTTTCCCAAGACTAGCTTTACTAACACCTCAAAAGAATGACTCTACTCTGTGGTCCACAATGCCCCCCCTCAATAAAAAGCTTCACTTCCTAAAATTCATGCACTAATGAAGTCTACTCCCATTATTAATATGTATTTTGATCTATCTAAATGATAGTACACTCCAGAAATGATAGTATGTGATTCCTTAGGCCAAGTCATAAAAGACATTTTGGCTTCTACCTTTCTTCTTGGTTCAGTGGACATTCCAGTGGAAGCACTGAAGTGTCCTGAAAACTCTCAACAGCGCTGTGGTAAGGAATGGAGGCCTCCTGCCCACAACCAGCACAAACTTGCCAGGCATGTGAGGGAGCCGCCTAGAAAGTCATTGCCTGGCCCAGGACTATCATACCACGAGGGACCTTGAGGCTAGACAACCCAGTTAAGCACTCCTGAATTTTTGATCTACACAAAGTATATGAGATAATAAATGCTTATTGTTTTAAGGTGCTAAGTTTAGGAGTTATTTGTTCTGCAGCAATAGAAAACTTATCTACTCTGTGACTAATAGGACAAAAAGAAAAAATATGGATGATAGGAGGCCACTTATGGAAAGAACCTACTATAAAAGTTAAGTTCTATGATAAGAGTTATCTGTTCACTGGTGTGGACAGTGACTGACATATCATTTGAATCATCAGAATCATCATTCTGATTTCTGTGTAGTAGTCGATTGAGAAAACACACCAGGAGAGTTACCACAGATGTAAAAAAAAAAAAAAAATGCCCCAAAGTGTACAGTTTTAGCAATATTCCTTGATCACTCTTAAGGTTGGTACCCCTTTGGAAACCAGGTGACTGAGATTGTTCCCATGAAAAATTACTTAAGAATGTTTTCCTTTCTTGAATATGGGGTGAATGGCTAAGGGCAGAGAACAACAGTCTCCCACTCAATTCTTGCAGAAACCTGTCTAATCTCCCCAAGGTGGAGTAGAGACTTCGTGTGTTCTTTAATTTCACACATCCTCCCTTGAGAAAGCAGAATCTACTTTGTGTTTCATATGGGCAATTAAGACTATTAGATCTGTGCTGTCGGCTCACCACAGAGGAAATGTAGTCTAGATAACCCTGTTAATTTGTGATAGACTTTAATGACTTAAAGAAATTATTTTATTTACTTATAGGATTGAAGTAAGAAATGTAAAAATAATTAAGTTGGAATCACATAGTGGTTTCTTTTAAAAATATTGAGAAAAAATGAAATGCCCCACTGTGTGGCTAAAGTATTGATTCTATACCCTAATGGGCTCTTATAAGATAATAAAACACATTTTTGACGGTTATGTTTCAAGGCTAATTATTGTAAAGCCAAAATTGCATTTTGTTGGAAACCTCTATAGATTTATAATGCTGCTGCCCAAAAAAAGAAAAGCAGCAACAACAACAAAAAATTAGACATACTAAACTTCAAGAAAACTTAAAGTTAAATTTCTCTAACCACATGTATAATGCTTTAATTCTTAATATGCTTTATTTTTCAGAAGGAAATAAGACATTTTTTAAAAAAGAAACATACCTATAGTAAGTCTGATTACATAGGATAAGTATTTATCATTATAAGCTAAGTATGAAATTTTCCTTGATAAGTTTTATATGTATCAAACCAATGGCAACATGTTTTTTATAAATGAAAAATAAAGTTGAAAGAATATGGAAAATGCCACAGTTTATTTAAGAGTTGTGAATTTTCTTCAAGTAAAAAAAAACAAAAACACACATTTAAGCAAAATGTGTGATACTATTATAATGAAGATAAAGTATGCTTTATTTAATGTGTTCAATATAGACGTAAATATACATAATTTGGTTTTCATCAAGGAACCTATTTATGTTAAATGATAATGTGGATTGATGTGATAATTAAAGTTCAAAAACCAACCAATATTCACAAGGAAGGACAAATAACAAATGCAAAAAAAAAGATCTTACAAATACATTAATATTTGAGACTAACAACTTTTTACATAGTTGCTAATAGAGTATTTAAAATAATACTACTTGAAAGCAAATTTAATTGCCTAATTTCTACAACTATGTCACAAAGCATAAACAAAGATCATTCAACTTTGTATAACTATATTAACACATCGTATTTTCTTTCATAATAAGTATACAGAGAAGCTTTATCCATGTATTTTTTTTTAAATTGTCTTCATTATCCATGATATTATTCCGATATTAAGATGTTTTCTGTCTAAAATGCATACTCTAACAAATGGATGATAGTCATGTAAATAGGTCTTCCAGGAATAAAAAGAATAGCCCATTCCTGTCTTTATAATGTTTACCAACAGTGATTCCTTCTGTTGGTTTCAATCCAGTACATTTCAGAAAATGTAAGCCATCACCTGGTTTTTACAGTCAAATTCTGTTACTGCTGCAGACAAGTACACCAACAGTCACAGAACCAAAAGTTTCCAGAACAGTCAACCAAGAGTAATGTTTCATTTACTCTTTAAAAAGAACATTACTTTTATAGAATAATTTTATTCTGTTTAGTTTTAGTAATTTCTGGAAAAAGGGATCACAAGAATGTTGCACAATTAAAAGCCTTATTATAATCAATACTTTCCATCACTTATGACAAAAGTCTCACTTAATATACCTCTATTATAGTGTTTTTCAAAGAAATTAAGTAGCATCTTCATTAATGTGAGTGAATGTGTACTGTATATGAGTACCATATATAGTATGTGGAAAATTTTAAATATAATACATATAATTTATATCTAGTCCTACCAATCTTAACTCTTTTCACCTTGCTCTATCAGCATAGTATTAATAATTATTTTTGTGACTAGCTTGACTCTCAGTATTCAAAACTCAACTTCTTATCTGACTGATAGAATAGAAGATTGCCTTTAAAAATATTTGTAGTGACACAAGATTATTTTTAAACCTTCACTCATATTTCATGTAATCAGTGGACTTAACAAGTATACTCAATCCACATAGGTATGTAAAATTTCAAAATGTAGTATCATATTTTGCATATCATAGACTCACCATGAATGAGTACATATTGCACAGTTAATATGATAATGTAATACAAAATACATTATGTGTGTGGGATCATGGGTGGGTGTATCTTTCTTAATGTTTACACATGTCCTTTGGGTCATGCACAGCTGTAAATGGCCACAATGAATACAATGTTTCCTTCTTCATCAAAGTGGTAGTAGGTTCAGTGTCCTCTAAAAATCTGATAGTCTTGAGATGATTCCCAGATTCAAGACCTGGTTTTATGTCATATCTACATAACTTTTAAAAGTACAAAGATTCTTCTATTTTGAAGACAATTTAAAATTAAATTTAAAAGAATGATTATAGTTACAATAGCATCATGAAATCAAATCCTCAGGAATAACTCAGCAAAAGAAGCATAAGATTGTTCGGTAAAAACCACACACCACTAAAAAAAATGAACAAAAAGTCTAAATAAATGAAAAAATCCTATGCCCATGGATCAGAAGATTAAATATTACAAAGATAGCAACATTCTCTAAACTTATCTGCATACAGATTCAACACAATCTCTATTAAAATCACACTTCTGGATTTTAAAACTTTTGGTAAAAGATGTGGTAATTAAGATAGCAAAATACTGGCATAAAGATAGATAAACTGATGGCATAGAATTGAGAGTCTAGAAGTAAACCATAACATGAATGTTTAATTAATTTTTGACAAGGCTACTAAGACAATTCAATGAAGAAAGAACAGTCTTTTCAAATATGGTGCCAAAATAACTGGAATCTGTATGCAAAATAAT